ACAAAAAAAAAAAAAAAAAAAACCCAAGGCCCTGGCATCTGATAGAAAGTGGATGAATATGGAAGATTTGTTCCTGAGTAAAACAAGTCAGGCTATGAAAGAGAGACATTGTATATCTCCACTTAACATATACCGACTGTCCACACTCTTTGGTAGAGACTGAAAGACTGAAGGACATAAAAGTATTGAAAATAGTTATAGACACTAGAGACAAAGTGGAAGGAGAGTGGGATGGGAAGAGCATAGGAAAGGAAATTTGGGGACAAAAATAGAGAGCTAAACACTTGTGGGACACAGATATGGTTTATTACCTTTTGATGATGATGTGTATAGTATTCTCAACTGGGCTGGACTGAGGCATATATCATGCTAGGTAAAATCTCTTTACAATCTAAATGATGTATAGTGATTGTTGAATGTGTAAATAATAATAATAATAATAATAATAAAAGAAAAAAATCAGTAGGAAAAAAACAAATGACCCAACCTAAAAAACTAGTGAGAGAACTCCACAAAAACTTCAAAAAAGGGTGGGGGGGATCTTATACTCTCTGTCCAAATTGATCAAGGTTATTTTCTGTAGACATATAACTACATATGTAAACAGATAACTACAAATGTATTAAATAGTGCCCTACCTCATGAATAATTAATAATCAGAAAAGCAAGTTAAACCAGCCATAAGCAATGAACACATACACTCACCAGAACAGGTATAATTTAAAAAGATTAGTAATGCTTGGTGTTGGAAAAAATTTGAGCAACTAGAAATTACACTGCTGATGAGAGTGTAGCTTGGTACAACCTCTTAGAAAGCAGTTTGGCAATATTATAGACAGGAGAAAAGAACAAACCCTCTGACATCAATGCCACTTCCAGGTATATACTTCCTACCCAAAAAATGTGTACACATGAGCACAAAGTAACATACACCAAGATACGCCATGGACAATAGAATAATAAAACTGCCCTTGACAGTGGGGATCTAAGTGATTGTGTTTTCCTGTTGAACAAAAAAACATTGCATTGGGAACCAGCAGTTAGCGTAATGGCTATGTCGCTGGACTCCCACGTAGTCGACCGCGGTTCGTGTCCCGGACCCGGTGGCTTAAAACTCACACCGGGCGCGTGTGCGTGCGTGCCCAAGATCCCGAGAGGAGAATGGAGGAGAAGAGATTGCGGCATGACCATCCCCCCTGGGGGGGGTGATTTCTCGCTTTCTGTCTCTATGTCTCTCTCTGTCTGTCTGGCGAGCGCACGCGCCCTACAGTGAAAATCTCTCAAAAAAAAAACAAAAAAACATTGCATTGAACATCATTCCAACATCAGACAAGGTCACTCTAACTGTGATAGATCAAGACACAAACAAAAACACATCATAATTCTGTTTAAACAGACAAAAGAAAGCACTTTCCAGCCCACAAAAATGACAAAATATCTCTCCAAACTGGCTACTATTAGTAGCTACCGTTTATTTACCACCCACAACTTTAGTCTCAACCTGTTCCTCTCATCTTCTTTATAAGAATAATTAAGATGCTCATCATAGAATTAATTCTACTTGGGGCCGATAGGTAGCATGGTGGTTAAGGTGACTGGACTCCCACATGGCTGACTGTGGTTCGAGTCACAGACCTGGCAGCTTGCTTTCTCACTTTCCTTCTCTCTCTCTGTCTCTCTCTGGTCAACTTCAATAAAATAAAAATAATAAAAAATAAAGATAAATAATGACAATGAATAAAATTAAATGATTCTTAAAAAAAAAAAAGGAATTAATTGCACTCATGACAGAATCCAACCCAGCGCAAAGCCCTGCTTCAAATCTATCCCAAGCCACCTAATACAATTCAAATGCTAGGGACCAGCAAGTGGTGTGGTGGTTAAGGTGCTGGACTCCCACATGACTGATCAGGATTCAAGTCCTAGACCTAGCAGCTTACTTTCTCAATTTTCCTCTCTCTGTCTCCCTCTGGTGAGTGCATATGCCCTATAGGAAAAATTTTAAAGTAATAATAATAGGGGCCAGCAGGTAGTGTGGTGGTTGAGGTGCTAGGCTTCCACATGGCTGACCATGGTTCAAGTCTCAGACCTGGCAGCTTGTTTTTTCCCTTTCCCTTTCTCTCTGTCTCTGTCTCTCTCTGGTCAAACTGAAAATACGATAATAATAATAAAATTAAACAATTCTTTTAAAATAATAGTAATTGTTATAAATTTAAAATTCAATGATTCTAAAAAAATCAAATGCCAAATGCCCTTTCTAACATTCTCTTACTGAGACACTCCATGATTCTTAAAGGTATGCAGTCTCCCTTGTTGCAAGAAGTCAGTAAATATAACTTTGTTCAACTACAAGTGTGTTCCTGATGGTCTTTGGATGAAGGTCATTGATAATACACTGGAATTCTGTCAGAAATGGAAATGAATGAATTAGAACTAAAAACAACAGCATCAATTTCACATTAAGCTAAATAATAAGAGAGAGAAACTAATTAAAATTATTATCTATGGTGCATCTTACAAGAAAACTTTATGGATACTGGAGTCAGTGTGGGAAGAGGGTGGGGGGAGAATGTGAGGAAAGAAATTAAGGAGAAAATATAAAGGCAAGATATTTATGGGACAGAAATGGATTATTGTCTGTTGATGATAATGTGCATAGTATCCTCAACTGGACTGGTGTAAAGTATATTTATATTAGGTAAATTCACTTTACAAGCTAAGTGATGTATAGCAATTGAATATATAAAATACAATTTTTCAAAAGTTCATATAAAAGTAGAATTAAAATATAAGTTAATTTTTGTACAAAAATGTCAAAATTCATGCATATTTTTTATAATATGCATTTTCCATGAGTTTTTGAAGACCCTTTGTGTATTGTTTTAAAAAGAGCCAAAACTGGGGCCGGCAAGTGGCATGGTGGTTAAAGGCGCTGGACTCCCACATGGCCGACTACAGTTCAAGTCTCGGACCTGGTGGCTTGCTTTCTCACTTCCTCTCTGTCTCTGTCTCTCTCTGATCAAACTGGAAAATAATAATGATAATAATAATAAATAAAGTTAAAATAAAATAATTCTTAAAAAAAAATAAAAGAGCCAAAACTAAACTTTCCTGAGATACACACTTAAGCCAAATGTTAAGGTACCTGACAGAGATTTGAGGGATTCATTAACTTCTTCTTGTCAGAAGTCATTAATGTTGTATACTTTCTATTTTCATTCACTTTTTCTCCTATTTAGAAAATATGGTAGGGTCCAACAGGTAGAGTGGTGGTTAAGGTGTTGGACTCCCAAACAGCTGACCACAGTTTGAGTCCTGGAGCTGGTAACTTGCTTTCTCACTTTCCCTCTCTCTCTCTGGTCAAATTTAAATAATAATAATTTAAATTAATAATAATTCTTTTAAGAAGAAGAGAAAATATGGTTTAGATGTGTCTCTCTCTTATTTTGGAGATATTTTTTGCTACAGGGTGTATGTGCTTGTTGGAGAGACACAGAGAGACAGGAAGTGAGAAATCATCCCCTGGGGGAATGACCACAGCCATTTCTTCTCCTCCTTTCTCCTCTCCAGATTTGGGCATGTATGGACACGCACCCAGAGTAAGTCACCAGGTCTGGGACTTTGACCATAGTCAAATATGTGGGAGTTCAGTGTCATAACCATTACACCATCTGCTGGTCCCCAGACGTCTCTTAAATACTAGTAACTGTTTGCATGGCACTTAAGACACAAAATCCTGAGCACAAATGGGAAGTCAAATGCTTTTGATAATGCTCATGAGACGGAGTGTCAGAAGACAGTTCTAGTTCTTTTTTATTATTAATGAATGAATGAATTTTCTAGAAGGTGCGTGCACTTGCCAGAGAGAGAGAGAGAGAGAGAGAGAGAAAGAGAGAGAAGGAAAGTAAGAAAGCGTGGCCCCTAGGGGATGGCCATGCTTCAATCCCTTCTTCCGCATTTCTCCTTTCAGGCTTTGGGCATGAACACACAGGCAACCTGTATGTTTTTAAAGCTTTGAGTCTGGGACTCAACTGCATCTCATCCACGTGGGATCCAACAGTTTCAACTACCACATCACTGACTGGCCCAACATTTGTAATTATTGTACTGCCACGAGTAGCTGTACAGACTGGGCAAGTGACTTTATCATTTAGAGCCTTAGTTTCTTCACCTTAAAAAAAAAAAAAAAAAAAAAAAAAGAATGGCCTGGGCCCAGCAGTCAGTGAAATGGCGGGACTCCCACGAAGTCAACCAAGGTTCGAGTCCCAGACCTGGTGGCTTAAACTCACACTGGACGCGTGTGCGTGCATGCCCAAGATCCTGAGAGGACAATGAAGGAGAAGGGATTGTGGCGTGGCCATCCCCCCTGGGGGGTTGATTTCTCACTTTCTGTCTCTCTGTCTGTCTCTGTCTGTCTGGCGAGCACACGTACCCTATAGCAAAAACCTCTCCAAAAAAAGAAAAAAAAAAGCATGGGGGCAAGGGGAGGGGAGAAAGATGGGATCTTATCTTTCTGAGACACCTTATAATTGAAAAAATAAATTCTAAGACCCTGAGCAAGCCCTGTAGATCAATGAGGAGAAAAATGATGGCTGTTCGCTTTTTTTAAGTTTCTTACTACAATTGCATGCACTCACCAAAGATAGAGAGGGAAAAGTGTGGAAGTGAGAAATCACTCTCCTTGGGGGTTGGCCACACCCCAATCCCCTTCTCTTTCATTCTCCTCTTAAGATTTTGGGCATGCATGCACACACCCCTGGAGTGATTTTTCAGGCCACTGGATCTGGGACTTGAACCGCAGTTCAAGTAGCATCCAGCTACTTTAACCTCCATGCCACTTGCTGGCCCTTTATCATCTTTTATAACATTGAGTTTTTTCTTTTTATTTATTTGTTATTATTATTTTATAATCTGACCAGAGAAACAGAGAGAGATAGAGAAAGAAAGGGAAAGTGAGAAAGCAAGTTGCCAGGTCTGGGACTCAGGCTGTAGTCAGCCGTGTGGAAATTCAGTGCCTTAATCACCATGCCTACCTGCCACCCCAGACGTTGAATTTTTGAAGTGTCCAGATCTGTTGTCTTGTAGAATATCTTACATTCTGTAATAGATTTGCTTGATTGATTCCTCATGGTGTCATTTAACCTGATTTTGCATCCTCTGTATTTCCAATACACCACCATGCCATCAGCTAGCCCTGTTTACTTTTTAAAATATATTTTTCTGTATTTTCAAACTCTCCTACACCAAATTTTGAAAATTGTAAGCAAAAATTAAAAATAAAGAAAGTGCAACCAGGGGACCAGCAGGTGGCATGGTGGTTAGGGCGCTGGACACTCCCATGTGGCTGACCACGGTTCAAGTCCTTGACCTGGCAGCTTGCTTTCTCCATTTCTCTCTCTCTCTCTCTCTCTCTCTCTCTCTCTCTGTGTGTGTGTGTGTGTGTGTGTGTGTGTCTGGTCAAATTAAAATGAATGAATAAATAAAAAATTTTTAAAAAAGAAAGCTCAACCACACACACACAGAATAATGCTGTACAAAGGAAGCAGGATTTCACATGGCCTATGCCAGTTCAAATCCCAATCCCTGCTTAACAAAAGCACCTGTCATACGTGCATGCATGTCCAAAGTTCTGACCAGAGGAAAAATAGAGGAAAAGGATTGCAGCATGATTGCCCTCCATTGAAAGGATGCCTTTCTCTCTCTTTTTCTTTCTTTGTCTCTTGCAAGTACTGGTACCCTCTAGCAATTAAAAATAAATTCTAGGACTAGCAGATGGTGTGGTGGTTAAGGCTTTAAACTCTCACATAGCTGACTGCAGCTTGAGTCCTGGACCTGGCAACTTTCTCTTTCTCTCTCTCTCTCTCTCTGGTGAGTGCACATGCCCTACGGCAAATTAACTAATAATAATAAATAAAATAAATATTTTTTAAAAATTCTATGATCATTGAAGAAACTCTTGAGAAGTATCTCCTATAAAAGGAGTCTTCAAAAAGTTTATGGAAAATGCCTATCTTGAAAAAATTATACATAGATTCCAAAATTTTTGCCAAAATAAACTTGTACTTCAATTCCATCTTCCATAAACTTTTTATTTATTTATTTATTTATTTTTGGAGAGGTTTTCACTATAGGGCGTGTGCGCTCACCAGACAGAGAGAGAGACATAGAGACAGAAAGCGAGAAATCACCCCCCAGGGGTGATGGTCATGCCGCAATCCCTTCTCCTCCATTCTCCTCTCGGGATCTTGGGCACGCACGCACACGCGCCCGGCATGAGTTTTAAGCATGAGTTTTAAGCCACCGGGTCCGGGACGCGAACCGCGGTCGACTACGTGGGGGTCCAGCGACATAGCCATTACGCTAACTGCTGGTTCCCCTCCTCTCGGGATCTTGGGCATGCATGCACACGCGCCCGGCGTGAGTTCTAAGCCACCAGGTCCGGGACGCAAACCGCGGTCGACTATGTGGGAGTCCAGCAACATAGCCATTACACTAACTGCTGGTTCCCGATCTTCTATAAAATTTTTGAAGTTCCTTCATATTTCTTTCAGACCATTTTCAAAATATGTAAGAAATCCAAAGCCAAACATTTATTTTCATTTGACTTATCCACTATATTATCTGGGAAGCAAAGTAATATATTCATTAAAAGTACAGACTTTGGGGCTAGCAGTGGTGTGGTGGTTAAGAGTGCTGGATTCCCACATGGCTGACTGTGGTTTGAGTCCTGGACCTGGTGGCTGGCTTGATTTCCCTCTCTCTGTCTCTCTCTTGTCAAACTAAAAAACAATAATAACAAATGGAATTAAATAAATATTTTTTTAAGTACAGACTTTGGAGTCAGACAAAAATAATTTGGTTTCATCTCTAATATTTACTAAGTATGGGGACCTCAGAGTGTGACATAACCTCTCCTGTCTCAATTTCTTCACCTTTCGAAAAAGAAATAATGTCTACTTCACAGGGTTGTTGCAAATATTAAGTCAGATAACGTATAAATCACTTACACGTTGCCAATACAAAGAAATCATCTTACTACCATCACAATCATAGAGATAAGCCTGTTGCTTCCTAACGGTTGGAGAGTTCAGGGGCAGGGAATTAATCCGGACAAATCAAAAGCCCAGTTAGCCTAGTTCCTAACCGTGTACCTACTCTTGAGCTCAGCTTCCTCAGGGACAATGTCTGCCTTTCTTTCTTCTACTAGCTAGTTCCTCCAAGTTCTTCCTCCCCGTGTATCTGGCTTAGGCTCCAGAAAATACTGCAGAATGTTTTTTGCCTCTTCCTTGTTCTCTAGGCAGACAGAGGAGTGCCTGCAGACGTAGCTTAAACTCGTCACTGTTTCCCACTGCGAGGTGCCCCCGCCGGCTAGTGAGCAGTGACTTCAGCTTCAGCTGGTGCCCTCATTGGCTTCTCAATTCCCAAGGACTTTCTTTTTTTCTTTAAAGGAAATCAACAGGCGAGTCTGCCGTTGCTTTGGCAACAAACTTTCAACCTTCATCTAACTCTCCGGAATGAGAACATATCTATTAATATATTCAATAGACTGGGGAGTTGAGTTGCTCAATGCGAGTTTTCTTCCAAGTGCAAAACAGCTTACCCGGCTCCGCTCGTCTTTGGTGGCGCTGCGGTTAGAGGCCAGTAAAACCAAGAGCAGGTGTTACAAGAGCCGGTTGCGGAAAAGTGAAAATAAATCCGCAACAGTTGGAGGCGGCTGCAGGCAGCGCACTTGTAAGAACAGATGGCGACTGCGCGCAGAAAACCTTTGCAAAGCAGGCAAGTGGGGTCTCTTCTCCTTTTTCTGTGCGTGTCTGTGGGGGGCGCGGCAACCATCCGCTATTCCGTGGCAGAGGAAATGGAGAGCGGCTCATTTGTAGCAAACGTGGCTAAGGATCTAGGGCTGGAGGTGGGGAAACTGGCCGCGCGAGGGGCGCGGCTAGTTTCCGAGGGCAACAAATTGCATTTCCGGCTCCACCGCAAGACAGGGGATTTGTTCGTGAAGGAGAAACTGGATCGAGAATCACTTTGTGGCAAAGCCGACCCGTGCGTTCTGCACTTTGAAATCGTCCTGGTGGAGCCGCTGCAGTCCTTTCGCGCCGAGGTCAGGGTGTTTGATATCAATGACAATGCCCCTATTTTCCTAAACAAGGAGCCGCTTTTAAAGATTCCAGAGAGCACCCCCTTGGGTTCACGTTTTCCTCTGCAGAGCGCCCAGGATCTGGACGTGGGCCTCAATGGTCTCCAAAACTACACCCTGAGCTCCAACGCCTATTTTCACCTGCACACCCGCTTCCGCAGCCACGGGCCCAAATATGCAGAACTGGTGCTAGATAAACCCCTGGACAGAGAAGAGCAGCCTGAAGTCAACTTGACCATCACTGCGGTGGACGGAGGGTCCCCGCCCAAGTCTGGCACCGCCCACATCCGCGTGTTGGTTCTAGACGTCAATGACCACGTGCCCCAATTCTCAAGACTGGTATATCGAGCTCAGGTACCTGAGAACAGCGCCACTGGTTCTCTAGTGGCCACGGTGACAGCCACGGACCTAGACGAAGGCACCAACAAGAAAATAACTTACTCTTTAGCTCAAAACCCAGAAGCAATTCTGCAGACATTTCAGATTGACCCTGAAAATGGGGAGGTTCGACTCCGAGGGCCGGTAGATTTTGAAACTGTTGAAACATATGACATTGACATTCAAGCTACCGATGGAGGAGGCCTCTCTGCCCACAGCAAAGTCCTGGTAGAAGTGGTGGATGTGAACGATAATCCTCCTGAAGTGATGGTCTCCTCTGTGTCTAGTCCTCTCCCTGAAGACTCGCCATTACAGACTGTAGTGGCCCTTTTCACCATCCGAGACCGGGACGTCCGAGTGGGAGGAAAAATCACCTGCTTTCTTGGAGAAGACTTTCCCTTTGTGGTGAAACCTACATTTCGCAATTCTTACTCGCTGGTCACTGATAGAGGCTTGGATAGAGAGGAGGTCTCCGGCTATAATATCACGCTTGTCGCCATGGATACTGGACCACCCAGCCTGTCTACAGAGACTGTGATAGAGGTGCTGATATCTGACATTAATGACAATCCCCCAGTATTTCAGGAAAACGCCTACATCTTGACTGTCCGAGAAAACAACAGCCCTGCGATTTTCATTGGCAAAGTCCATGCTGAGGATCTAGATTTGGGTGAGAATGCTCAAATAACATATTCTCTGCTACCTCCAAAGAGTGGAGATCTATCAGTCTTCGCGTACATTTCCATAAATTCAGACAATGGGAAGCTCTATGCTCTGAGAACCATGGATTACGAGGCCATTCAAGATTTTCAGTTTGTGGTAAAGGCAACTGATGGGGGCTTCCCAACACTAAGTAGTCAAGTGACTGTCAGAGTGGTTGTCCTGGACGACAATGACAATCGGCCAATGATCTTGTATCCACTGCAGAATGGCACCTTGCCTTGCAATGACCTGGTACCCAGGTCTGCAGAGGCAGGCTACCTGGTGACCAAAGTGGTAGCTGTGGATGGTGACTCAGGCCAAAATTCTTGGCTTTCATACCATCTGCTTAAGGCCACTGACCTTGGGTTATTTTCTGTTCAGCGACAAAATGGGGAAATCCGTACATTGCGGCAGATATCTGAGAGAGACTCCATGATGCAGAAATTGATCATTCTTGTGCAGGATCATGGCCAACCAGCTCTCTCTACTACTGCCTCCCTCAACATCCTGCTGGTAGATGGCTTTTCAGAGCCCTACCTGCAGTTCCGGGATCCATCAAAGCATCCTAGAAAGGTAAATCCATCCACTAAATACTTGGTTATTTCTCTGGCTGTGCTTTCCTTTCTCTTTCTCCTCTCTGTCACGTTGATCTCCATTATACACATCTACCAGAAGATTAAGAATCGAGAAAAGTTCACAATTCAAGAGCATTTTTATGATGACTGTAATTTCCCTAACAATTTGGTACAAGGAGGGCGCAATGGATCCTTATCCCAGCCTTGTTCTTATGAAATGTGCTCGGTCACTGGCACTGGCAACAGTGAGTTCCGGTTTCTTAAGCGCTTTATGCCTAACTTCCCTTTCCCCCAAGGCACTGGAGATGTAAAAACTGGGACTAGCTCCTGTTCACCTTCAGATTCTGAAAGAAACAGGCCTCGGGGGTCAGAGGATCGTGCCCGGGTATCTGATGACTACATGTAGCTCATATTAACAGTGAGAGAAGAGAAACCTAATTTTATATCTGAAATGCCAGGGTCTCCCATTCTCATTGAAACAAAAATGGTAGTAGATTGTAGCTTTACTAGAGGCAAAAGAATGCTTAGTTTGGTGAAAATGGGGAAATCCAGAGTGAGGCTTGAATTACTTAGTACAAAATGTTTTCCTAGCCCTAAGATAGGAATTCTGCAGCTGGAATTCTGTTTTTAAAAATATCACCAGGCCAGTCAGGTGGCATGGTAGTTAAGGAGTCTGGATCCTACATGGCCAACTGCAGAATTTTAGTCCTAATTGAACAGCTTGAAAAAATACACCCAGTGTGGGTGCTTGTGTGCCTGAAAGGAGAATGGAGGAGAAGGGATTGCAGTATGGTCATCCACTCTGGGGGGTGTTTACTCGCTCCCCTCTCATCTCTCTCCAGCAAGTGTGCATTCCCTAGAGCAAATTTTAAAAATAAACAAATAAATAAAAATACCACCATCAATAAGTGTGTGTCATTGGAACTTCTGTTTTTCCATCTTCTCCGTGCTAGGCAAGTAATGAATGAGCCATTATTCATATCTCCCCTGGAAGTTCATTAGTTCTGGCCCAGGAAATGCTTAGTTCCATAGAGATATACTATATTATTTTTGCCTCTAAATTTTTTCCCAATAGAAAATTATGCATGCAGGGGCTGGCAGGTGGCATGGTGGTTAAGGGCGCTGGACTCCCACATGGCTCACCACAGTTCGAGTTCTGGACCTGGCAGCTTGCTTTCTCACTTTCCCATTCTCTCTCTCACTCTGTCCCTCCCTGGTCAAATTAAAATAAATAAATAAAGTTGAATGAAATATTTTTTAAAAAAAGAAAATTATGCATGCATAAGGAAGATAACTAGCTTACTGTTTGATAAACCAGGAAGCAATTAGGTTTGGCAAGTGGAGATATAATTTGTTATTCAAAAATTTCTAGATTTCTGTCCCTGATGAAAGATCACCTTTGAATCAACACCTTGCATGCCATCATTTATATAATGAAAATGTCTAGTAAGTGGCATTCCGCACAGATAATCATGGTGCAAGGAAGGAAGAGAAGAAAGATTTGACTTACTTGCACACTTAAGGGCAGCTATAAGGCTAAAGAGATTCATTTCAGGAATGTTATCTAAAATTAAGTTAGAATGGATTTTTTAAAAAAGGTTTTGGCCACAGGGCACACGTGCTCACCAGAGAGACAGTGAGAGAGAAAGTGAGAAATCACCCCTCAGATGGGACGGCCACATTGCCATCTCTTCTCCTCCATTCTCTTCTTGGGATTTTGGGCACACACAACTTATCAGAAAGAAGTTATTTAAATGTAGAAAATGAAGAGTGGATGATGTGGCCTTGAGAAATATATTTTCAGGTAGTAACATTTTTTTCTAATGCCAGAGGTTGCACATGCATGCATGAGAGAGAGAGGGAGAGAGAGAAAAACACCCTCCCCATGGAGGTGCCAATCATGTACAATCCTTTCTCCTTCAGTTCTTCATACCTTCAGGATCCTGACAAATGATTGTGAGCTAGGACAAACCTGTGGGTCAGGACTTAAACTCTGGTCAGCCATGTGGGAATCTGGCCTCCTGTGTGCAGTGTCTAAACACTGTGCTATGGCTTCTGTTCTAAAATTTTATTATTGTTTTTAGGTTTTTGCCATAGGGTGCATACACTTGCCAGAGAGAGAAAGAGAGGGACAGAGAAAAGGAAAGTGAGAAATCACTCCCCTGGGGGGGGAGGGGGGCGGATGGTCATACCTCAATCCTTTCTCCATTTTCCTTTCAGGATTTTGGGCTCGTGTGCACACATGCCCAGTGCAATTTTCAAGCCGCCAGGTTCAGGTCTCAAAACATGTTTGGCCACATAGAAGTCATTGTTCTCTCTGTGATGACATGGAAACTAAGGAGGAAAAAAGATATTTGTAACAAATGATTCATAAAATGAAATGGAGTGGAGAAATAAGTTAGGCTTCTTTTTTATCATTGTTAAGCCTTCATAGCTATTTTGGGTTCTCTCATTCCAAAATGTATAAAAATCAATATTAAAATATCAACATGTTTCAAAAGTGCTATCAATATAACTGTGCTAAAAGTCAAAAGTTCGCTTTAATTATATGCCTTATTTTATACAAATGTGTGCAAATTTAGACTCATTGAAATAAATTCTTTCTTCTAGAGCATATTTGTACCTGAAATTCTAAGGGTAGAGCAATGTCTCTTAAAATACATTTCAAATATACCAGGCCATATTTATAGATATAAGCCTCATTCTTGGGCTTCTTACTATACTTAATGGCACCAGTTGGCTGTCTATCTGGTGACCAGGTATATATTAAAATTTAGTGCTATTTATAAAATGTTGGAGATGCTTAGGACAGATTTGGTGTAACTTATAGCTGCCTTCAATATTTTATTTAATATTTTGAGACTAGATGAAGTAAATGCATGTCAATGGATTATCTCCCTCATTAATATTAAATATTTTCCATAAATTGAATTATAATCCATTCATTTGGAGTAAAAGTGTTTCTTGCATAAAACAGAATAGTATTTGAGTGTATTTGGGTTAGAATTGGTTAAAGTATGTTGAAAATCAGAGACTTTAAGTGAGAAGGGACATAGAATTAATTTTTGTGGATAAGCAGTAATTAGTTAATACAATATTATTATCTAAAAGTCACCCGATTAACTGTGTATAATTCTATGTAATGGTGTGAGCATAATAATCGGATCCTGGCTTGATAGCAAAGATAAGGGAAAAATGGCTTAGTGATTTTAATTTCTTTTTTTAAATAATTATTTTATTTATCCATTCGTTTATTTTAATTTGAGAAAGAGAGAGAGAGAGGGAAAGTGAGAAAGCAAGCCACCAGGTCTGGTATTCAAACTGTGGTCGGCCATGTGGGAGTGTCCAGCGCCTTAACCATCACTCCATCTGCTGGTCCCCAGTGATTTTAATTTCAAACACAGTAAAGTTCACATGCCCACAAATATTGGACAAGAGACATATTGATAGATTTTCCAACTTCTAATTTTTCCACATTAAATTAAATTTAATAAATCCTATTATTTATACTTGCATATTTCATAAAGGAAATATTTTAATTAAATGGTAAAGCAATCCAATCTCATAAAAACTATCCTTTAGGTTAAAAACATAGTTTTTATTAAAAATTATTTTTCCTTTTTTTTTTTTACTGTTGCCTTAAACGACTGAATATTTTGTCACTGACTTCAGGTTTGGGAACAACTAGATTGAATGATGATATAATTTCATTTTTATTCAGACTTAAAATTCCCAAGAAAATTTTAATTGTACTTGATAATTAAAAACTAAGACGATCTCTCTATCAATTTACCGAATATGTGAGCCATTTGCATGTATAGAGATCTTGATATACTGGCTAAGTACAAACTTTCAGTATCAATTAAGATAAATAATGAAAACAATTTGGTCAATCACTCTTCCCAAAATGCCAAGTAATATTCAAACTATTTGTATTTATTTGAAGGTATAACCCATGAACCTTAAAGAATGTCTTGTACAAAAAGATAATATTTTTTGAGAGTTTTCTGCTATAGGGCACATGCGCTCGCCAGAGAGAGACAGAGAACAGAAAGCGAGAAATCACCCTCCAGGACGGAAAGCCATGCTGCAGTCCCTTCTCCTCCATTCTCCTCTTGGGATCTTGGGCATGCACGCACACACACCTGACCTGAGTTTAAGCCATTGGGTCCGGGACTCGAACCATGGCTGACTGCATGGAAGTCCAGTGACATAGCCCTTACACTAACTGCTGGTCCCAATAATAATATTTTTAAAGTGAAAACTAACTAGTTTAAGTAAGTTGCTTTCATTACTTATTTAACTTTGGCATGTGTAGATCTACATTTCCAGTGAAAGCTTTAAATTATAAAGAGTTTAAGCCCCTCTAAAACTATTTATGAGATCATTTTTGACTCATAAAGTTGAAAAAATACTATAGAGAGGTTAAATATATTCATCATCTAGTTTTCTGTATTAAAGTCTTATATAACCATAGTAGAGTTATCAAAATTAAGAAATTAACCTTGGCACAATTCTGTTAACAAAACTATGGACTTTACTCAAACTTCACAAGTTTTTCTTTCAATGTCCCTTTTCTATATATTTAAGGATCCTATCCAGAATCCCTTAATACATTTAGCTGTGATGTCTCCTTAGTCTCTGCCACCTGTGATAATTCCTTAGTCTGTCTTTGTCTTTCATGACCTTGAGACTTAGAAGAGTGCTAGTCAGTTGTTTGTAAAATCTTCCTCAGCTTGAGATTGTCTTTGTTTTCTCATGCTTAGCTTGAGACTATGCATTATTAGGAAAAATATGAGAGATGATGCTGTCCTCCTCAGTGCATTGTATCAGCAAATACATGAGGTCAGTGTCATCATCTTTGACATGCTACTTTTTATTCATTGTAAAAAACAACAAAATTTACCATGTTAGCCATTTTTCTGCACTGTAACTTTTTTGTTTTTTCTATAATTAATAATTGTGGTAATATACTTTGAAATGATTAAAATAACATGTTTTTGCTTAAACTAGTTTTAATATCCATTGCTGCATATTTCCTGTGGCAATTAATATGGTGGCACTCTAATGATGATTTCCTATTTCCCTCATTCCTTTTACATTGATTACTTAATTTAAAATTATTCTGTAAGGAACACTTGTCACTTCTCTAATTATTTAGTTATTTCTTTACATATGAACATATGAATATTTAGTATTTTGGTTATAATCTCATGCTGTTATTTATGTTGTACAACAAACCCTTTTATCTGAGATAAACAGGGTTTTAAGACTGGAATTATCCACAGAGAACACAAGTTTATTTTAAATAAGCATTAATTTCTTTAATCTTGTTAAAGTTTATTCATAATGAACATTCTAACTGTAAATGAAAATTACACAAACATGATTTTAAATTTTAATTTCAGTACTGTTATGAAACTATTAAATGCACATTAAACTATGAGGTTAAAATTTATCATGCAGATATGTTTATATATTTATAAGCTACATATAACAGAAATGCCATTTTAAAATAGATTTATATGCCAAAATGAGACATACAGGTATACAACATATAGAATTGGCTTGTCTGATATTATGTAATTCTCTTAAAAATAAATATATTACTTTACCATGTCTATGTATTTCGTGTTGCTTTCTACTTAAAGATGAATTTGTCTCATTCCTAGAAGCAGAATTCATCCATATAATTCCCCAAAATAAATACCTATTTTCTGAGAAGTTCAATATCTTCACAATATGTGACTAATTGGACCCCACTCCTCCAAAGTTTGACTTCATTTTCAAGTTTATGTGACATTTCTTAAATAAAATTAAAGTACCAGTTGTGTGTGTGTGTGTGTGTGTGTGTGTCTGCACGCGTGCGCGCGCACACACGCATGTAGTTTTGCTGTAGGGTGTGTGTACTCGCCAGAGAGGCAGAGAAAGAGAGAGAAAGAAGAAAAGAGAAATCACACCACCCCAGTCCCATCCTCCTATCCCTACCCTTCCACCTCTCCAGCCCCATCCCCACTTATGTTTCTGGGTACCATACTCTGCTTTAAACACAGAAATGATAAAAACACAACATTAAATAATGCAAAAACAGAAATAGAGCAGAGAAAGAAAATAGAGATGAAATCCTTGGATTTCTGAACAATAATGTAAGAAGTTGGCACTGGTTACCATTAGTTCAGCTGTGTGGCCTATCTAGAATAAAAGGAGAATAAAAGCCTGCGTAGGGAGAAAAAAATATTAAAGTAAAATCTTCACAAACCCCTTTCCCTCCTCTCCATCTCCTTTCAGTTCGGATTTCCTTATACAAAAAAGTGTCTCCCTTGCGGAAGTCAGAAGCCGAGTGAATTTCAAACCCAGCTTCTGTAGCCTCAAATTTTCCCTCAAGCTCTCGTGGAACAGGTTTCGAAAACAGTTTTAATTATTTCAGTAAAAAGAGCAGTTTAACTCAGGCTGTCAGCAGGACACTGAGCTGAGCTCGTACTGTTCTACAAGCCCAGCAGCGTCGACACCGCGTCATAAGACAGAGACAAACGGAAGTAGTTATGATAAGCTCTTCCGGTACCGTCTGTAAAAGCAGTCCTACCAGGAGGAAGCGGAAGTGAGGCTAGTAGACAGCCCAGGATTCCGGGAGTCCCTGTTTTCAGAACCGGCTTTCTGGCTTTGGGCTGTGCGGCTTACGAGGGGCCTTAGCTCCCGACACCAGGCGTCGGCTCCAGCAAGAATGTTCACGTGTGCGGACGTGAGCGGCAGCGAGGCTTCACGATTGCCGTTAGTTGCAGCTAGCTTTGAAATGAAAATAAAGACCTTTGTGAATTTAATACATATTGGCACTGTATTTCTTCCTTGTGTTTGGAAAAGACTTAGAAACTCTCCATTAAAGAAAGAAATGGGCAGGAGGGGCGAGTATGGATCCTATTTATTTATTTATTTTATATTCTTTCACTGAGCAACACCACAGCATACAAAATGCGATTTTCCAGCGAGAATACACTGCAAAGTGGCTTAATCATACATGATATCAACAAATAATTTTCCATTTCTCGTTTCTTGTATATAAATATTTTCCCCCCATTACCCACCCTCTGCCATTTCCCATCTTCCTCCCACCCTGTCTCTGGAATCTGCAGTTGCTTTCCATTCCTTTATTCTTCCCCACATTTCATTGATTCACAAAATATCTTAATTTAAAAAATTTCCATAGTAAGTTCAGCTGTTATATACATATCT